AACTATCAGCTGCTTACTGTTGATCCGGGAGGGCAGTGCAGTGGGGCGGGGCGGGGGGTGCTGGTGGCTGTTTTTCTAAACATGTGAAAAACTGGAATGTATTTCCAAGAGTCTGAAATGTACTTAGCATGCGATAATAGTCCCTTTATCCCCAGCCCTGGCTGAGGTCCTGGTTAGAACTTTGTCCACTTGTAGGCTTAAAGAGGGTGTACACTAAGACCCGGGAGGGTTTGGCAGCATCACTGGCCAGCAGAAATATAACGTGAGTCACGTATGTAATTTAAAATTTTCTGGTAGTAAAATGGAGTAAGTGAAATTAATTTTAGTTATATTTGATTTAACCAAACATATCTAAAATAGTATCATTTTAATATATAATCAGGATAATTGTTGAGCTATTTTACATTTTATACTAAGTTTGGGAAATAATTTTGTAAAAATAATTTCATAAAAAGTGTAAATAATTTTACACTTATGGCACAGTTCATACTGGCCCCATCTCAAGTGTTGAGTAGATACATGTGGCTACTGGCTACCATTACTGGATAGCATAAGTTCAGAGGAAGAGATATATAAAGCTGTATATGGTTAGAAAGTGGGACCAGGGAAAGAAAAAACACACCCAGAGGGAAAAAAATGTCTGAAAGTAAACAGCCTTCAACGTGAAGGGAAGGGCGAGTCCCTGTAATGGATATCAGTGGTTTCCATCTCCACCAAAGGTCCACATGCTGTACCCACCTCCACTCCACCCACCCCACTCGCCCCCGCAGAAAAAACTGGTTTACATTTCCGCTGTATGAGATGTTTGGCTTAAATCTAAGTAATGCATTTCAAATAGGGAGAAACTGAATCTTACCTAACAGGATAAATATTTTTCTTGCCGTCTTCATTTATTCCACAGACATTAAGTAAGCAACCAGGTGACTCTCAGGGATGAGTTGAGTTTGTACTAGATGTTAAGTTTGTCTAGATGTGAAGATTGCGGTGATGATCATCCTCTGGTTTGCATATGACCTGAGTCCAAGGAGGGTATTAGCTGGGTCAGGATCCCTTTTCAGAACTGCGGATCCTTGAGTTAATGATTGGATGATAACCATTACTGCACACTGGACCTTTTACACAAAGAAAAACTATTCAAGAAAAGTCATAGTGCCTGTTTTTAGGAGAGGCAGAAGCTGGGTGTTGCTATCATCCTTACCCCAGCTATCCCATCAAGAGCCAAGAGGGAGGTGGTGTATGGCGACTAGAACCTGAGAGGTTCAGTACTCAGTGGCTTTGCCACCTTGTGAAAACCTTCAGAATTCCATGAGCCTTAAAATTTCCTTTGCTGCCCTCCCCAAGTCAAAGGGTGAGTATAAAAGTCATGTGAGGTAATGGACCTATATGTGCTTTTTTTTAAGATGTTGGGGGTAGGAGTTTATTAATTAATTTTTGCTGTGTTGGGTCTTCGTTTCTGTGCGAGGGCTTTCTCTAGTTGTGGCAAGCGGGGGCCACTCTTCATCGCAGTGCGCGGGCCTCACTGTCGCAGCCTCTCTTGTTGCGGAGCACAGGCTCCAGACGCGCAGGCTCAGTAGTTGTGGCTCATGGGCCTAGTTGCTCCGCGGCATGTGGGATCCTTCCAGACCAGGGCTCAAACTCGTGTCCCCTCCATTAGCAGGCAGATTCTCAACCAGTGTGCCACCAGGGAAGCCCCCCTATATGTGCTTTGAAAGCGACTTTAAAAAAAAAAAAAAAGATGCTTTATAAAAGAAAGGGACAGTGGGACCTCCCTGGTGGTCCAGTGGTTAAGACGTGGAGCGCCCAATGCAGGGGGCATGGGTTTGATCCCTGGTTGGGGAACTAGGATCCTGTATGCTGCACGGCTCAGCCAAAAAAAAAAAAAAAAAAAAAAAAAAAAAAAAAAAAGGGATAGTAAAATATCAGGTGGTTCTTAATGTAGCTGATTCACCAAACCTCTTTTAAATTTAAGTGTGAAATATTTGCTAGGTGATTGATTCCAGTCGCTCCTTTAGGATTAAAGTTGATTTGAAAGATGCTATGGGGCTTTGGTAAACTGGAGGTCATGTCAATAAATTGTCTGCATCCTCTCTTTGTACTGCACTTGACCTGAGGTTGTTAGGCCACCAGTTGGAGTTTGGAAATATTTTGTCTCTTTATGAGAACTTTTATTTTCACGAGGTGAGCCAGACCCACCAGTCTTGGCACACTGTAGCTAAAGAATCTCAGTGTTGGGTAACTGAGGTGCTCTTCAGCCTTGCTCCCCAAAGTTGGTCGGTGGACCAGCAGCATGGGCACCACCAAATAGAAATGAACAGGCTTAGGATGCATCCCAGATGTGTCGGATGAGAATCTGCATTTTAACAGGATCCCAGGTGAATCTGACATACACTAGAGTTTGAGCAGCAGTGCTCTACAGTATCCCATCTAGCAGTAGTCAACACAGCCTCAGCTTGAACAGCTGCTGGGACTGACAACTCACTTCCTCTCGAGGCAGTCCCTTCTGTTGGACAGCTCTCATGTTTAGAAAGTTTTACCTTCTATCAAGTCAAAATCTGCCTGTAGGTATCACCCACTCAGTGCTGCCACATAGAAGCCCATATAGTAGATGCTTGGGAGTGTCATGATTTTCCTTTGTTATGCAGAAGCCTTGATCCAGAGGCTGGATGGGCAGTGAGTGGGGCCACACAAGGTCAGCTGCCAGTCACCTGGCAAAGGCCCGCGGGTCCTGAGACATCTTCTAAAGAGCAGAACCCTTGCAGTTCTGTCTCTTCTCCCCGAGTCCAAGGGCGCTGGTTTAAGAGATTGCAGTTTGGAGAACTTGAAAAGGTTTTCCAAAAGGATGAGAGTATAGAAGGGATGGCTGGGATGAAAGCTGGTCCTGCAGGGCATGCTAATGGATGAGAATTTACAGCGGAGATGAACAGGAAGGGATGGTGTGGTGGGGCAGTGTTACCTCTTGCTAGCTGTGAGACATTGGGGAATGCACTAAACCCCTCTGAGCATCCGCTTCCTGGGCTTTAAAAGAAAATGGGATGATAAACCCTGTCCTGCCTGTCTCCAGGGTTTCTGTGGGACTCATTGAAAATAATGTCAGTGAGCACACTTAATAATGAGGGAAATGGTCCGAAGATGAAAGAGAAGGTCCAACGGGACAGTAGGTGAATCCAGGAGGCAGGTCTACCACTAACTTGCTGGGTGACCTCAGGGGAGGCCCTCACCCTCTCTGGGCCTTCCTGTGAAACAAGTGGGTCACACACTAAAGATCTGGGTGCTCTTCTAGAAGGCCCTGGAGTTGCTGTGACTCATCACTATTATTGCACGTTACCTGGAGGGTTTCTCCAAGGATGGCTCTTCAAATATTCATTTAGGGAGACTTCTTAGAGCTTGGATTTGAATCCTCTCTGGGATAAATAATTCCAGACATTCTTCCAGTGAAGGCCTGGCCTGTGCTATAGGATCCTTACTTAAAAGACAGATCCGCTTGGCCATGATTGCACCTTATTTCCATGTCAGCGTGTGGGGCCTAAGCTGGTGAGTGAAGAGTGATAGTTTCATTTCTACCACTGTGTCAGGACACACCATCCTGCTTCTGGAAGCAAGCTCTGCCCCATGAGATATCAGAACTCATCGACTGCATACTTAGCTGGAGTGTATCATGTGCAGGTTTTTCCTGGGGAACAGTCTCACTTGATACGTCACATATTACCAAGGAGTTTTTCAAAAGTGTTGCTCTTTTTATACGCATGGGAAAATGGCATACCTGATACTTTTATGAGCCTGCTCTGCCAGAGGAGGTTCCCAGTCAAAATAAGTGGAACTGGCTTTTGGTACAGCAGGCCTTCCATAGATGCTTGCCAGCTGAGAGCAAGGGGACCAACGTGTGTGGTTACAGAGGGACATAACTGTTCCTTAAGGTAGCCCTTCTGTGTCTCTTCCCTGCCAATCTGGGGTCCCTGTGTTGTTCATTCTCACCTCACTGCAGCCATGTTCCCAACTGCTCATTTCATTGCCTGGATCCTTGCTTCTAACTCTGTACATTGCATTTTCTCCTCTGCACCCACCGTGTTGTCTTGGAAACTCAGTGGCCATAGGCCACGAGTATCCGTTGTCATTGAATGTGATGGTGTGGTATGTGTATTTGCTCACACTTTTATTTTGAATCCTTTCCAATGTGACATCTGCTAAAATGTCTCCCTTATAATTTGCTTGGTGATCACAGCCTTCTCATCATTCATTGAGAGCAGGACCTGATCTCACAGAATCTGAAAAGAGCTATGTGGTAAGATGCCTGTTGAATAAGACTGTAGCTTTTCTAAAGAGAATTCTTACTGATTTGTAGAGTCTAGACTGGAGTAATGCCTGGTTAACTCACAGAGCCATTATTTACAAGAATTATATGGCTATTGTAGTAGAGAGAGATGTTAGGCCACCCTCTCCCCTCAAAAAAAAAAAAAAAAAGCAGAGGAATTTAGAGAACGTATTTCTACTCTGCCTACATGTGGGATTAAATTAATATATTAGTGCATGATTGGGGATACATACTTGCATTTCTATCCTGAAATTATTCCATTTGTAACAGTTACTCACTAATTACAGGCTTTTATGCTGCTGCCTTTTTTTTAAAAAAATATTCATACTAAATCCCAAATTCTTCTGTATCTTACCTGTTTTTTTCCATGCTTACACCTGGATTCCTCCTGCACTCCACTACTGGAATATCTATTTTTTTAACCTGGATCTTCAACTCTGTTGTTTCCCTGGACTTATGTGCTTCGTCTGGAATGTTACATCTCTTCCTCTCTTTCTTTTTTTTTGTCCCCATGTTGACTGTTTTATGGGGGTTTCTGGATATCTCGGGGCCACCACAGGAAGCAGTTTGCAATGAGATCATAAACATTGCCGAAAAATCTGTTCATTACTGCAGCACTGTTTCTCATCCCCTTGACTTTCATCACAAGGTATCCCCTTCTGACAATAAATCATCTCTAATCATTTCTCAGCAACCTCAAGCCCAGCAGCGAAGAGTCACCCCAGACAGGAGTCAAACCTCCCAGCATTTGTAAGTACACTTGGCGAACCTCAGTTCTCGAGTTCTCAGTAGACCGTTGGGCTTAGGAAGTGGGTCACCGACTGACTGTGGGAGGGGCAGCCATTTGGGGGAATGAACCAGTCACTCCCAGCTTCTCTGAGGGTTTCTAGTTAAGGCTGTTTCCCATCAGCCAACGTGAAAATAGGTGGCAGGTATATAAAGGAGCTCACGGACTCTTGGGGGAGAGACGTAAAGAATTAACTGCCATGTAGGGCAACTGGGAGCTGCGCCGACTGGTCTCATTCCTAGTGCCGTGATAGTGTAGGAGGAAGGAGTGTTAATTCTGACTGGAGAGGAATGAATAGGGTTGATCCATTCATTTAAAAAAAAAAAAGTATTGGATATCTATGTTCTAAGCACAAAGGAGTAAACTCCATTCACAGAGGAAGGGGGTTCTGGAATAAGCATTGAAAGACAAATCGGATTTGAGAGCTAGAGCAGGGAGGTAAAAGGTCTTCTCAGCTGAGAAAACCAAACGTGCAAAGGCCCGGAGTAGGTATTGTGTTCGGAGAGCATCGAAAAACCCCTGTGGCCACGGTGTGCAGTTCATGGAGGGAATGGAGACAAAGCTCAAGGAGCAGGTTAGGACCAGACTGTAGAATCCAAAATGCAACTGAAGTAAATTTGGATTTTAGTCTGCATTCACTCAGGAGCCACTGAAGGTTTTTAAAATCAGGACCATACTGGGAGTTCCCTGGTGGGTCCAGTGGTTAGGACTCAGCGCTTTCACTGCTGTGGCCCCCGGCTTCAATCCCTGGTCAGGGAACTAAGATCCTCCAAGCCACGCAGTGTGGCCAGAAAAAAAAAAAAAAAGGAACACATTAATTGGATTTCGTTTTAGGTAGATACATCAGTCAACAGAGTGGAGGGTGGATTTCAGAGACGAAGGACAAAGACAGTGGTTTGGAGATATGAACACAGCAAAAAAGTGGTGAGGGCCTGAGCTAGGGAAGAGTGGGCCTCTGGTGCATGGAAGAGTATAAGATTATATAAGAATATAAGATTCCCCGAGGAGATGGGAGAAAGGGAGAAGAGAACTGAGGATAGATCCTTGGGGAACCAACTTTTAAGGCAACAGAGTAGCAGCCAGCAAAGGAGACAGCAGGAGACACAGGCGAGGGTCTAGGAGCACTCGCTTGTGTGTCACAGAGCAAGCAGTGTGTGGCCAGTGGTGCCCCTGCTTCAGAAAGGCGAGGAGGGTAGGAAATGAGAAATGTCCTCCAGGTGGCACCTGGAGCAATCATTGGTGACCTCTGCGATGACAGCGCTGCTGCAGGCAGACCGTGTTACAGGGGGCTGATGAGTCGGTGCGATGGTGAGTGGGCGGAGCGGGCGACAGGGAGGCTGTGGGTTCAGCCAGTAGCAGAGACGGGGGGGGGGGGGGGGGGGAGCTTCGAAGCCACGGAGGAGAGCACAACAACAGGGGTGCCGGGGGGGGGGGGGAGAGCTGTTCTTAGGATGCAGAGGCCTAAGCACATCTATACTTGAGGAGTTAACAGAATCAAAAGATGTGAGAGAGAAGACGTTAAGTCGAGGAAATAGCCCAGGGAAGGGAGTTTAGCCTGGCCAGGAGCAGGGACCCTTCCTTACACATGGCAGTAGGGGCAGGAGGGGAGGAAAATTAAAGCTCTGCTCAGAGGCAGGGGAAGGACTCTATGGAACCGTGTCCGAACAGCATGAAGCCCCTCCAAAATTAAAGCCAGTCGGGGACCCAAGCAGCAAGGTTGCAGGACTGTTTCCAGCCAGTCTCCGCTGTCTGGGGTGAGACAGCGAGGCAGATTACAGGAGTAATCTCCCAGAGCTGAGACTGGCAAAGCAGCCACGGCGGCAGTAAAGGGCCTAAGGCATCATAACAAGTCCAGGTTGGGTAAGAGACAGCAGGCAAATACAGAAACATCAAAATGTATTCATTTACCAACTGGAAATCCATCTGCAACTCTTAATTCCTCATTAGAGACCTTCCTTCTGGCGGGCAGATCCATCTACCAGAGTTTCACTACATTTGAATAAATATGTAAAATTAAATTGCCCCTTTGGTTTTAGCAGAGCGCAGAACCTCTTGTTTCTAGGAACTGACTCCACTTACTTGTTTCTAGTCTCTCTTGCCCACATGCTGGAATTCACTGACATCCACTGAAAATGGTAGATGACGGGCTGGTTTGCAAAGTTTTACCTGCTACTGTTGTGTTTCAAAGTAGCAAGTAGACAGAACTTTGAACTGGTGCATAGTAGGTGCTTCTTAAATATCTATCGAAAAAATAAATGAAAACAGCGTTTATTTGTTGCCAAAACAGGTATCAGATTTCACAAGTAGTCCAGCTTTTTCCAGAGCCTGTTGTCAGAACAGACCAAATTGCCTTAGGCCAACTAACAAGCAAATAAAAATCTTAACCCCAAACATCACTGGGATAGAAATGCTTTCAAGAGTTTCAGAAAAATGGCATCCACGTTTAAAAGCAATTAATGAAATGTGTGTTGGCACGTAAAGAAACTCAAGGTAGTTTTGCTAAACAGTGAGGCAATTGAGATGTACTTTTAAAAATTATATATATACATTACATGACAATTGCCTCATGCTCTCCAATGTATGTGACCAGAATATAATGTCTGTCTCTGGACCTAAGTAACTTCTGATTATCCTTGATAACCTACATGTGTTACCCTATGTTAAGAAAAGGACTCGATTAACTTTAAAGGGGGAGCATCTAGACAAAAAAGCTTGGCGGTGGTAACCAAATGAAATTGAGTAAAAGGACTGATCGTGACTTGCTTCTCAGAAGTTCCCCATCCCTGTGAATCTTAATTTGCTTATCACATGGATCTCCCCAAATTATTAGAGAAATAGCCAATAAAATACTTTTATCCCCACTGATGAGTAGGAAACACTACCCAAATGTTGATTCAGCTGAAATGGGTTTTTAAAACTCATTATTTAATTCCATCAGTGTTTGAGTCAATATTTATTTCTCTCACAGATTTAGCTACCAAGCATTGTACAGCTATATACCACAGAATGATGATGAATTGGAACTCCGAGATGGAGATATTGTTGATGTCATGGAAAAGTGTGACGATGGATGGTTTGTTGGTAAGTGACATCGTACTTTTCTTACCGGTTGTGTATTGAAGGAAGAACTAGGCGTGATGAGTCACGAAGAGAGCACTATTCTCTACACAGAGAGAAGGGCCTTCTCAGTTCCTGTACCACCATTAGGAACGATGAGCCACCCAGTTTATGTTTGCTCTCAGGGCAGTGTGGATGATACTAACATTGAACCTGACAACCAAATATGCCAACATCTACTGCATGGAAGGGCAGTTGCCAGCTTCATCCACTGAGTTCTGTTTGTCTTTTTCTTTTTTTTTTGGTCTGTGCCATGCAGCTTGCAGGATCTTAGTTCCCTGACCAGGGATGGAACCAAGGCCCCAGCAGTGAAAGTGCTGAGTCCTAACCACTGGACCGCCAGGGAATTCCCTCTGTATTTCTATTGTGCATCTGTCTGTCCTACATTCGGAAATTTTAATTTTAAAAACGCCTGTGGAACACCACAAGAACACGTGAGCCTAGATTTCTGCCATGAAGCTCAAGCATATGTGTAGACATTCCAAAGACCTCATTTACTCCAGGCTTCTAATAACTTTCCTCAAAGCAACCTGCTTAATTAAAGGAGTCACTTTCATAGGATGGGGGAGAGGAAGATCAGAATTTGAGATTCTGTAACAAAACAGGTGCTTGATATACTTTCTTACTGAAGTTCTCTCAACAAGCAGCCTGTAAGACAAGAATTATCCTCTTTCCACAGATTCAACGACTGAGGCCCAAAGAGGTTAAGTAACTAGCCCCAAGGTCACCACCCAGGTAGCAAATGGTAGGGCCAGTATATGAACTTAGGCTCATCTTTCCCTGAGCCTCTGTTCTTTCTGCTCAGGCACAAATATGTTGGGAACCATTGACACTCTTTGTGTCAGTTTACCCCTTAAACAGCTGGCTTTACCTTTATCTTCTTTCCCAAGACCAACTCTTTCCTGTCTCCCTAGAAAAGCTTTGCTAAATCGAAATGTCAGGACTGGGGCCGTGGGAACAGGCCTCAGCACAAATGGGAAGCCAGAAAGATTTGCCTTGGCCTGATCAGCCTCCTAGAAAACTACCCCATCCTCCTCCCAGGGCCCACAGAAGCTTTGTGGTCCTCACCACGTTGAGGTTCTATTCAGAAGGAAACCAGGTCTGAAAGTCAGCAACATTCTAGTGCAGTGCAAGTCCAACAGAAACATAATGCAAGGAATTCCCTGGCAGTCCAGTGGTTAGGACTCTGTGCTTTCACTGCTGAGGGCCCAGGTTCAATCCCTGGTCAGGAACTAGGATCCTGCAAGCCTCACGGCACAGCCAAAAAAAAAAAAAAAAAAAAACAACCATAATGGGGCTTCCCTGGTGGCACAGTGGTTGAGAGTCCGCCTGCCGATGCAGGGGACACGGGTTCATGCCCCGGTCCGGGAAGATTCCACATGCCGTGGAGCAGCTGGGCCCGTGAGCCATGGCCGCTGAGCCTGCGCGTCTGGAGCCTGTGCTCCACAACAGTGAGAGGCCCGCGTACCGCAAAAAAAAAAAAAAAAAAAAAAAAAACCATAATGCAAGCTATGTATGAAATTTAAAATTTTCTGAAAGCCACATTGAAAAAGGTACAAAGAAACCAGTGAAATTAATTTTAATATATTAAGCCCAGTGCATTTAAAATATTATCATTTGAACATGTCATCAGCGTGAAAAATTGCTAGGGAGATATTTTACATTCTTCTTTTCGTACATAAGTTTTTGAAATCCAATATGTATTTTACAGTCACAGCATCGCTCGGTTCAGACCAGCCATGTTTCAAGGTCTCAGGAGCCACACGTGGCTGTCCTATTAGAGTACAGGCTAGTAGGGATTTGTTAAACTCTTCCAGGAGTATTTACATTTTTATGAGAACTTGGGATGGGGTGAGGGGCATCGCCCAGAAGCTAGATAAAGGAAATATTTTAGATTCCTTAATTCCTCAAACACTTAGAAAAGTGGCCTTGTGTTCAGACTATGAAGAAAATAATCCAGGAGAGCTCATTTTTCTCATCCGTCAGGAAAGGTGCTCACCACCCATATGAGCACATCTCTGGGCTTTACCATCTCAGTTCTCTGCAGCCTCCTTGACCATCCCCCTGGGGCTTCAGCTAGCTGTTTTAGATGGCCTTAGCTTTGACACATTCTTCTAGCCTAGAAGTTTTACTCTGGGCAACAACTCCAACCCACTGATAGTGGCTGCTTGAATTGTGTTTAGCAGGATTCTGAAGCCCTATCCAAGCCAATCGGGCAAAGGATGCAATGATCAAATTGTGATGTCTGCTAATGAGAGGGTAATAATGACGCAACATCTATCTGCCACTCCACCCTTATCTCCCAGCTTTAGAGAGAAAATCCCAAGGGAAGGAACTATTGCTAGATTAGGGATCCAGCAATGCTGGATGTGGAGCAGCCCAGGAAGGGCTTGTTCCCTGGTAGCTCAGTGTTCCTGGCTCAGAGGGAACCCTGACAAGGTTGGTAGTGAAGACAGGGAGTCAATCTGGGGCCTAGGCTCAGGAGGGAGATTTCCTTTTGCTGTGCAGTCATAGCCAGTGGACTTTAGAAATCCTAAATCCCCAGTACCTTGCTGTGCTGGATAACTGTGTTCATTCTTCCGTAAAGGAGAAGAACTGGAAAGAGCAAATGGGCTGCGAGTCAGAGACCTGGGTTCAAAGTCTGTCTCTCTGAGCTTGAGTTTCCTGTGAAAAAAATGGGAGTGTTTGTTAGAAATGCCTTGCTTATCACCCAGCATTATTCTGCAGCCTAAATGAGATAAGATAGGGGAAAGTGATTTGGAAACCATATGCCCTTCTACAAGCTGCAGGATTGTTACCAAGGACTCTCTGCTCATTGTGTGTATATGTTTTTGGTTTTTTTTGTTTGTTTGTTTTATAGGTACTTCAAGAAGGACAAGGCAGTTTGGTACTTTCCCAGGCAACTACGTAAAGCCTTTGTATCTATAAGAAGACTGAAAACCACAGAGATGATTTTTATTGGAGAATGAAGCATAATTCATGAATTTGTCTCTTTATTTAAACATTGAGTCAGTAGGAAAAGTAATGCAGTGGATAAAGAAAGAAGAAGAGAGGACAGAGAAGTGTTGCATTTAAAACCTGAGCCTGTCTAAGCTTTACTGCGTGTATCAGGGCTGAACCACGCAGAAAAGGAATGAGGCAAGTTGGTATTTACTTAGCTGCTTCTGGGAGCCACTCCAGCCCTGCCCTCTCCCCCCACCCCCACCCCCGCCCCACCTTGAGTAATCTGACCTGCAGCACGGTCCAGGAGCAGTTAGGCCAGAAATGCTTCTTGCTGCTTCAGGCTTGACCGGCTTTGGCTCAAAGGGGTCATTTAGCCTGCAGGAGCCCTCGGAGCAACAGGCAGATCCCCAGCCATCCTCCAAGGCTCCACACAGACTCCCCCAGTCGTCCCAGAGCCTGCCAGTCCCCTAGTGCTGAGAGAGACCAGTCAGGGCTGCCACGGTGATCCCTAAACAGTAGTGGAGACCCCAAACTACCCAAGGCCCAGTCCCTCACTGGAGGTAGGTGGGGAAATGGAGGTCAAAGTAGGCGCCCAGTGCATTCAGCCTGCATGCAGCTTTGCCATTGACGCCCCCGGTGTTCAGCCAGAAAAGCACACAAGGTTTGCCCCTGGAGCAGGGTGGCCAGGCAGATAGTTAAATTTGTATTTCCAGGTGATTAACTCAAGAAGCCCTGTAGCTTGAGGTCCCTTGCAGTGGCTCCTTCCCCATATCACTGGCTGTTATGAACGGTCACCTTCAGGGCAGCACAGTTTCATTTAGCAGAATGCCATTGCTACTCTTTCTTCTCTGGATTGTTTTAGGCCAGGACAGTTTGGGGTTGATAGGCCTATTCTCACAGAGAACCAAGGATGGTGTTCAGTGACTCATGTAACGTACACCAGTGTACACTGGATGCCAGGGGCCACTGATGAGCCAGCCACGCTCCAAGCCTTAGAAGAGGTTCACCGTGTCTCCATTTTCATTGGCCATAGGAGTCCAAGGACTACCCAAAATGTAGGAACCCAAGGTTATGAATCCTGACTCACCCTGTGAGGCTTCTCTTTAGAGCAGAAGGTGCAGATACAGTGGCCCTAAGAGTGAGGCCGTGATTCTGCCACTCCCAGGAGGCCAGTCTTTTGTGGGGGACAGAGGCTCCTGGGATACCTGGGGTGTTCCGTCACAACTTTATCCAATTCAAGGATGCTTACTGGCCACTCTGTTAGACACCTTGGAGAGATAAAGATAGAAATGACTCATTCCCTGCCTGCTGGCAACTCAGAGGTAGTTGGAGAGACAGACACACAAAAATACTGAATCAAGAGAGACTGTGATAAGTGCTAAGAAGGGTGTGAGAGAGGAAGAGATGAAATTTCCCTGAAGGGACCCTAGAAAGCATTGTCATATTTCTGTCTCCATTAGCTCACCTTGAACAACTAGGATGCTGGAAGAACCTTTGCCTGAAGGTGGTTTATGGCTGGAAATACTTGGAACTGTTTCCAGCGTCTTCAGACTCTCATCCTGCCCACAAATACACATCCAAGGTCACAAATAGGAGTAGCAGTTCCAGGTTGATAAGTGTACAGGAACCCTGACTCTTTGCATATAGCTCAGAATTGGCCTAGGACCCATGTCCCAGAGTCTTTATAAGCGCACAGAGTTTGTCTTCAGTGCCTCAGCTTCTCTCTCCACTACGCATCTTAGGACCCCCATCAGCTGCCCACCCCCGTCAGAGAGCCACAGTACCCTCACTCCCTGTCCTTCAAAGCATGCTCTCAGGAAAGCAACTGCCACTGACTCCTTCACAGTAAAGTATAAATGACTGATAAAAGGAAGGTGTTATTTTTTTCCCAGAAACACTGGTTTTTAACTAGAACAGAGCAGAGCCTTAATCCCAAGGGGGGAAAGGCTGTGGAACTAATGGTGGAGGTGGGGCTGGGGCTATAGGTGAGGGTGGATGAGCTTCCTGGGTAGAAAGGGACTTATTGATATTCCCTAAGAAAGACTCAGTGCTTTGGAAGGTCCACCTCACCATCCAAGGGCACTCTGTTTCTGTCTCTCCTCCCCACTCCGAATACAGTTCAAGTGCATATCCACATGCATTTCACACAGGAGCATCACCCATTTGGGAATGTATATTGGCTAATGTGTTTCCTGGTCTTTCTTAGATGCAAACCATTCATAACACGATCTTATCTTTTTTTGAGGGGTGTTTATTAAGTAGGTAAGTTTGAACACCTCTTTAAATACAGCTAGAAAATAAACCAATTTGTAAAGCCACATTTGCATATGATGCCAGCCTCATGACTTTGTATATCTCCAGAATCCCAGGTATGCCTCACCAATTTGCCCATCTTTAATAAACTCATCTGTTAAAATTTGCATCAAACTTCAGCTTCCTACATATGACACAACAAGGAACAAAGGGTTCCAGCTGCCCCTTTGTCTTCAGACATTTAGTAATACAAAATACCTATTTTTATGCTGAGATATTTATACAGGTTTATTAATCACAAGTGCAACTAACTGGTGGCATGCCCTGCAACACATTTTGAATAGATTAGCCATGCTTCTGGGTAAAGGCAAGCCCCACACTACTTAACTTCTGCAGTCTTTCTGGGATCAGTAAGAGAAAAAAAATCACATGCTTAAGAAGTGGGACTGTAAATATGTATATTTAACTTTGTATAGTCCATGTACCTACTTTGTATAGAAAAATAATTTTAAAAATTTGAACCGAAGGGGGAGTAAAATAAGGAAGTCATGAAGTTTTTTTGCATATTTAAATGAAGGAATTCCAAAATAACTTACCTGCAGATTTTTAGCACAAAAATAGCCCTTGTAAAGTGTTATAATTTTAAATAATCATTCTTTCTGGGAGGGAAGGTAACTGTTATCTCAATTATAGTGGTTTTTCTTATTTTGTTTTTGATTTTTTTTTTTTTTTTTGCAGTCCTGTTTATCTTCAGTAGTAGTAAGGCCTATTGCTAGAATAGGTTACTACAAAAAATATATTCTGAAAGAAAAATAACTGACATTATATATAACCGATTAAAGTATTGCCATTTAAATTATACACCAAGAGCATGTACTATGCAGACACAGATTTTTCTGTTCATCTATTTTTCTTTATGCAGTGGATCGATCTGACAAATAGATGTTGAATTACTACATGGGCTGTACATGTTATTTAATAAACTGTATTCAGAATTGCGTGGCATATGTTTGTTCTTACCATTCATTGTTTCCTACCCTCTCAGGTTTCTCAAATGAGACTTATATTCACCTCTTCAATGGTGCACACTCTCCTTTTCCATTCTTTTTTTTTTTTTTAACATCTTTATTGGGGTATAATTGCTTTACAATGGTGTGTTAGTTTCTGCTTCATATCCTTTTCCATTCTTACTTACGTCTGGCTTCCCCCTCACTCCTTGAGGGCACCACTTACTCTATTCTCAATAGGCTAACTCCGTGACACTCTGAATTGATTATTGTTGACCATTTCACCATTCTTTCTAAAATGTTTGTATTTCTTTTTTTTTTTTTTTTTTAATTAATTAATTTATTTTTGGCTGTGTTGGGTCTTCGTTTGCTGTGCGAGGGCTTTCTCTAGTTGCGGCGAGCGAGGGCCACTCTTCATCGCGGTGCGCGGGCTTCTCACTATCGCGGCCTCTTTTGTTGCGGAGCACAGGCTCCAGACGCGCAGGCTCAGTAGTGGTAGGCTCACGGGCCTAGTTGCTCCGCATGTGGGATCTTCCCAGACCAGGGCTCGAACCTATGTCCTCGGCATTGACAGGCAGATTCTCAACCACTGCGCCACCAGGGAAGCCCCTGTATTTCTGATTACAAGAATAATGCACATGTCTTTAAAAGCCAAAGTGACCGTTATAAAATATGTATAATGGGTCTCGATTTACTCCACAAGACATGGGTACAGAAAATGAGACAGCACTTAGTTTTTCTAAATAAGTTAAATCTGGCTACGAGTCTACAGTGGGTGAAAATGCAGTCTGTCCTTGTGTTCACTCCCAACCCAAGTGTGTCAAAGCTGTGGCACTAGGCATCCAGCCTCCCCTGGCATCTCCATTTGGGGTGGGGCCTGCTACAGCAGCATGGGTCTGTCCCATAGTAGAAAACCCCAAAACTCCCACCCTGCCTCTTCTGATAATATCCTTCGCCCTTCAACTCAAAGCACCCATTCACATTGCTACCCCTTTGGGGTGACTCGGTGGAATCTCCTTTGCTTAAGCCTTCAACAGTCCTGGGAGAAGGGTCATCTTCCAGGGTTCCGACAGCCTTGACACTGGGCCCTGAGTCACAAGCACTACTACTTTCTTCCATCCCGTCCAACAAATCCATCAGCTCTACCTTCAAAATACCTTTAGAACCCAACCACTTCTATCACCACAGTTCAAGCCATTTTTCTCACCTGGGTCATTGCAGTCACTTTCCAACTGGTCTCCCTGCTTCCACCCTTGCCCCCTCTACCTTAGTCTGAACAGAGCAACCAGAGTGATCCCTCTAGCGGCTGCTACTCTCCCTCGGAGTGGTGCAATGGCCTCGAGTCCAAAGGACACTACCCCACCTCCTCTCTCACCTCTGCCTTTCTCATTGTTCCTTTTGCCGCCACACAGTCCTTCCGGCCTCACACTCATCAAGCATGCTTCAGCTTTAGGGTCTTACTATGCTGGCCCCTAGGCCTGAAAAACCCTGCCCCCAGAGCTGCATGGCGTCCTTCCTTCCTTTAGGTCTTTCTGTTACCCTCTCAAGGAGGCTTTCTCTGACCACTTTATATGTAATAGGATCCTACGGTCTCCAACCCCAGCATTCTATCCCATGCTCTTTTCCTCTGTGCTTCTGCAAACACTCATCACCATCTGATATTTGTTTTCACAATCAATTGTATAAAGTCCACGAGGGTAAGGATTCTGTCTTGCTGTTACATGT